AATTTTTCACCCAATTGTTGAACCAGAATATCAAGATATATTTATTATTTCGCATATGATGGTGAAAAATAAAAAAGTTAAAGTTAAAAGTAAAGGTAAAGGTAAGGTAAAAAAACACCACCATGTTATATGTATAATAAATATTTTTGAGTATAGCCCTTCTAGATTATTTTATCCCTTGAGGTAGCCCTCACACACACAAAAAGGTTGGAGACCCCTGGTATATAGTAACTAAATGTTTTATAATTACAAGTTTGTGTAATTAGGGTTTCTGTAGCCAGTGACATTTCATTATTTGTATTTTATTTTCAATGCAGATATAATGGCATTGTACATTTTTTTGTTTCTTATTTGAAGACTGAGGCTTCATTAATAAACAAAACCCCAATTGTCTATCATTGTTTTTGAGATATTACTTGCTGTGAATACCTTGTCTGATATAGGTTACAGTATTGTGGCATAGTATCAGGACATCCTAGTGGCTAGGGGCGAATGGCTGGATGATGGGGCCTATTTGGGAGAAAGTCCAGGGCTGTTTTTTAGCCCCAGTCCGTCCTCTGGTCACGTGTGTATACCCTCTCGCAACTTCTGTTTCATGCTGCCTTTAATATACTGTGTGCAGATTAAAATAGCTTCGCGCAAAAAAACTGGTTTGCTTCGCGCCTCATGTAGGTATTAGAGTACACTTAGAGATATGCTGTGTTTATGTGCCCTCCATCACTGCAAATACTCCTCCATTAGTGTGTGTGTGTGATCAGAGAGAATCAGAGAGCCTTATCACAGGACAGAAAAGACTGGAAAACCAGTAAATAGAAGATAATAGCTGATGGAGTATGAAGGTGGATGGTGACCCTGTAAAATGTGTTGAAAGGAACGTGTGTGTGTGAAAGAAAGTAATTAAACTGTTCTTGTGTTGCAGTGTGTGTGAAACACTTGTCCGCCTGTCTGTTGTTCTTAGTGAGACTATAATTAAACGTGTGTGTGTGTTTGTGTGCTCTGTTGCAGGGAGATTGAGACTATTCAAGCTATTCAGCCATGAAGTACACACACACACACACACACACTCTCACTCTCTCTCTCTCTCTCTCTACTCTCTCTCTCATCTCTCTCCTCTCTCTCTCTCTCTCTCCTCTCTCTCTCTCTCTCTCTCTCTCTCTCTCTCTCTTCTCTCTTCTCTCTTCTCTCTCTCTCTCTCTCTCTTCTTTCTCTTCTCTTCTCTTTCTCTTTCTCTTTCTCTTTCTCTCTTCTCTTTCTCTCCTCTCTCTTCTCTCTCCTCTCTCTTCTCTCTCTCTCTCTCTCTCTCTCTCTCTCTCTCTCTCTCTCTCTCTCGACTCTCTCTCTCTCTCTCTCTCTCTCTCTCTCTCTCTCTCTCTCTCTCTCGCACACGCACCACCGCACACGCACACGCACACACACACAGAGAAAGAGAGCCAGGGAAATGGGCTAAATGAATAGAACTCGGCACACACACAAACTAGACATTTTTTTACTAGAAAATGTAAGTGTCACAAACTCACTGCCTTAAACTCTAAGGTGTTGCTATGTGGTTCCTAAGGTGTTCTGAGTGGTTACTAGGATGTTTTGTGGGATTGTTAGGGGGTTGCTAGGGTGTTTTGGGTGTTTTTTAGAATGTTATGAGTGGCTTCAAGTGCATTGATTAGGTCATTTCTGCAGTTGCCATGGGGGTTGTTAGGGTCCCTCTGGGTGGTTTCTATGATGTTTTAAATGTTTTTAGCACATTGCTAGGGTGTTCTGGGTGGTTACTAGGATGTTGCTATAGGGTGGTTGTTATGGCATAGCTGTAGGGTTTATAGGATTTGTAGTTAATAAAGTATTGCTATGCAGTTGATGGTGTTTCTAAAGTGTTAGTGGTTGCTAGGGTTTTCTGGTGGTAGTTAGGATTTCACTTCTTTCATTACAGGATGAATCAGCCTTTTTGAATGAATCTCTTGAATGAATGATTCAATGACAAATTATTTTTTTTAAGCGCTAAGTTACTTTCAAAAGGTGATTTGCTCTATTTTGATCGCTACCGTAGACATCAGTGTTTATATCCGAACTATAAACTTTTATACCAATACTTCTGTGATAATGTAAATTATTGTAACACGGAAATAATGATTCTGTGTGGTTGAAAAGACTGTTTGTGAATCTATTTCATACCTATACATTAAACTGCTCTCTCTGGATCAGCGCCAGCGCAAACACAGATAGACTCATTTAATTTAATAGACTCAGGCGAATCGTTGTCGTTAGGAACGAGATCGCGTGGGAGTTTGAATCGAGATCGCAATTTTTTTAACGATTGATCATGTAGCTCTAGTTGCTATTGTTTTCTAAGTGGTTACTATTTTCTACGGTGTTCTGGGTTGATAGCGCGTTTGGAGCATTTTTTATCATTCATGTCCACAAAATTACAATTAACCTACATCCTCCATCACAGCAGTGCTAAATTGCCTTCACTAAATTATTATCTGTCACTCTCTTTCTCTGTCTTGTGTATCTGTTGTTGCTGAGACATCATTGTCATGAATATAATCTAAGCTGAAGCCATTTGTGTGCTTGGGAATTGAGAGCCCAGTGCAGTAGTACAGGTTTATCACTGTCACTGTTTTCTCTCCTAATCGAGCGTGTGTATGTGTGTGTTCTCTTGCAGGCGGAGATCGTGAAGCGACTCAGTGCTATCTGTGCTCAAATCATCCCTTTCCTCTCTCAGGAGGTACGCTGACAGTGATTGACAACTCATCAGGGTTCTGGGGTCTTCTCCCAGAGGCACACACACACACACACACACACACACTTTCTCTCCCCGTCAGACTGATTCACCCTCAGTACAGCAGACAGCTTCTAGATTTTAACGACCCCGTCTCACATCTCCAACCAAAAAAGGATTGCTGATATCCTGTTTTTTTTTAACGAAGCAGCAAACTCCTGCCGTGTCCGGTTACCGAGAGTCATCTGTGATGGTTTGATGAGCTCAGTTTGCAAATTCAGCTTGAGTCCAGCATCTCTGTTTGCTTTATTAGCAGCTCTACTTCTAGTGATACCAGCAGGTAGTCCCGTTCCAAACCCATGCTATTGGTTGAACCGAAAGTCAATGACTCGCTTCACATTAATGAGCCAAAACATCCAATTCTAGTCATTCGTGCTAAAAAATCGAAGAGTTCTTGGGGACCGGCGTACAGTCACATGTTGCTTGTTTCTTTCAGTTCGTATGAAGGGTAGAAGGAGAAGCTCTTGAGATTCGGCTGTTGCTTTTCTAGCTGTACTTTGTTGCGAATGGCTAAGGCTGGAATGGTTTGTTTTGTGTCCCATCATACTCAAAGCTCCAGTTCCGTTGTCGTGGAGCCATAGGTCCGTTATTATCTTCAAAGCTTTGGAGCTGGAGTCCTCTCAAGTCCACGGTGGGTTGTATGAATGCACACTATGAAATTAAAGCGACTCTCCTTTAGAGTTCAAAACTGTACTGGGAAATGAGAGAGGATTGATTTCTCACAAAACTTATCAAAGATTTAGATTCATTAAGATGATTTGCCTATTAAATGACTAAATCCTTCAGGACGATTTCAGTGACATCACCTGCACACAGCTGATATCTCAACCAATCAGATGCTTCATTTATTGTAGTTCACGTAAGACTTCTGTAAATAACATATCTGTTTACTGATCATTATTCATATAGTCTGTTTGTGAATATGACCTTTAATATAATGTATACTGATACAGCTCCCTTTCATGTGAGGATACCTGTGTTCAGAATATAACGCCTGGAATGGATCTTCATTTCAAATGAGTGGATTTATTTGGGCAGATGAGCAATAAAAGATCAGGCGGCCCTGTATTGATCAGGAGGTCACCTTTAGCATTAGCTTGAGTTAGTGTCTGCTGACGGGGAAGGACAGAGTGATATGTCTGTCAATACTTGACTGTGTGTGTGTGTGTGTGTGTGTGTGACTGGCAAAGGGATGTAGAGAGAGAGAGAGTGTGTGAGGATAAATAGTTTAGCTGTGAGATGTTTACTTAAATTCACTTTTTTTGAGTGTGTTTGAGTTTGTGTGTCTACAAATGTGTATTTTGTGTCTCTTTCTTAACATTTATCTGTGTGTGTGTGTGTGTGTGTGTGTGTGTGTGTGTGTCAGCATCAACAGCAGGTCGTTCAGGCGGTGGAACGTGCCAAACAGGTCACCATGGCAGAACTCAACGCCATCATAGGGGTGAGTGACCTCTGACCTTTCTGACTTCTCATACAGATAGATAGATAGATAGATAGATAGATACTGTAGATAGATAGATAGATAGACAGAATATTTGATATATTATATATCTGTCCATCCATCCATCTCAGTTTATCTCCATGACTTGTGATGTATCTTTTTGTGTATGTGTGCCTGACTGTTGTCTTTCTCTCCTTCTCTCTGTTTGTGTGTCTGTCTCTCAGCAGCAGCAGCTCCAGCACCTGTCTCACCACACCCCAGGTATCCCTCTCACTCCTCACCCTTCAGGCCTGTCTCTGAGCGGCACATCCGGGCTGCTGGCCCTCACCGGGGCCCTGGGAGTCTCCGCTCACCTGGCCAACAAGGACGACCGCAACCACCTGGACCCCGAGCACCTGCGAGGTGAGTGTCTGTCTGACCTGTCTTACTCTTTAATCTCACAGGTGCATGGGGTTATTAAATTAATTTAAATTAAAGAAGTAATTGTATAAATAAAAATATTTACATTTAATTTACAATATATAATAATTATATTTAATTTAAAATAAATATATTCAATAAAAATGATTGTTTAAAATAAATGTATTTAAGGATAGTTCACCCAAAAATTAAATGAGTCCATGATTTACTCACCCTCAAGTTATCCTAGGTGTATATGACTTTCTTCTTTCAGACGAATACAATCAGAGTTATATTAATAAACACCCTGACGCGTCCGAGGTTTATAATGGCAGTGAATGGCTGTTAAGTCCATAAAAGTGCATCTATCCATGATAAAAGTGCTCCACACGGCTCCGGGGGGTTCATAAAGGCCTTCTGAAGCGAAGCGATGTGTTTGTATAAGAAAAATATCCATATATAAAACTTTATAAAGTAAAATAACTAGCTTCCGGCGTAATAAACTGCTTTAGGCATAATAAATTGCGTATGGCCGTTTGGCCAGAAGCTAGAATTTTATTTTTTAACGTTTTAAATATGAATATTTTTCTTACACAAACGCATCGCTTCAGAAGGCTTTATTAACCCCCCGGAGCCGTGTGGAACACTTTTATCATGGATGAATGCACTTTTTTGGGCTTCAAAACAGAAACGGCAATTCACTGCCATTATAAAGCTTGGAAGAGCCAGGAAATGTTTTAATATAACTCCGATTGTATTCGTCTGAAAGAAAAATGTCATATACACCTAGGACGACTTAAGGGTGAGTAAATCATGGGCTAATTTTCACTTTTGGGTGAACTATCCCTTTAAATTGGAACGCATAAATGAATATGAATAAATATAAATTAATTTATTATTAATATAAATGCATTCGGCAGTTTCTCTCTTTTTCACTTTTAAAAAAAGAAAAAGTTTTTTTTGAGCTGACTAAACCAAATTAAAACCTAATTTGTGAGCATTAGGTATGGATCTTTATCTGTGTATTTTATCATTTTCATGTTGCTTATGGATATTAAGCTAGCTTTATCGCAATTCTTCATCAACAGTGCACAAAATGCATGCAGTGTTCACAAATATTAACAATTTATGTGACCAATACCAATTAACTTCCGCTATGATTTATTTGTTGACACACCCCCAACTAGTTTGTTGATAAACTTTCATGACGGCACCGTCCGTGTGCACTTATGATTCTTCCGACATTAAAGGGATCATTACACCCTGATGGAGCAAAAATTGGCCCAAGAAAAACAAAGCGGAAGACTAGCGAGAAGGAGGGTGTGTTGAGCTGCTACAGTAGATTGGATATACTTCTGAGAAGCCTTGAAGCTCTGATAGACTGAAGGCCAGAAGGGCGACTTGTTCAGGGAGCTCAATACAATGGATGTATTTTTATTGCACCCTGACTGGATTTTTCAGCATGACCTTGGCTTGCTATGGAATTGTTGTTATTATTATCTAGACTGACGTCAATCCCCAACCCCTCCTTCTCTTTCTGTCTCTCTCTCTCCTCCGCTCCCAGAGGGTGCGCCCAGCAGGGTGAGTATCAAACTTGTGTGTTTGTTTGTGTATATGTGTCTCCACCCCACCAACTTTGATAAATGATTCCAAAAACAGAGTCGTTTAAAGAGAAGTACGGATTATGAAATCCGACCAGCACACTCTAAACTAAGACGCTTTAGTTCCTGCTCTCTGCCATTAGCACTAAGGAAAAGCGTTCATTTTGTACTTTTAATATAACAAACCATAATTCTCTGTCATTTGGTTGCATCACAGTTAGCCTTAAAGAAACAGTCCACCCCAAAATGAAACTTGCTTGCTGGTTCTTACCATCATACCGTTCCAAACTCTTGTGATGTCTGTGAGCTGCGGAGATTAACATTTTCAGTGAAAAATTATTTAAAAGCTAAGAAAATTTGGAAGACTTGGAATATAGTGAAAATTTAATTTTTTTTGTTCCAAGTACAAAAATCAAAGCATTTAATATTGGGATGTACTGTCCCTTTAAAAGTTTTGTTTTTCCTTGAAAAGGGATAGGGGATTATCACGCTTCCGGGTTTCATGGGCGGGATTTGTCAACTTTGTGCATGTCCACTTCCGACGCAATTCAACAATGGCTGAAACGAAGGCTAGATGTCACTGCTCTGTTCCACTTTGTAAATCTAACCAACAACGCTAACCCTACTTAAGTTCTCATGGATTCCCGACTGAATTGAGTATAAGGAAGAAGTGGATTAAAGCGGTTCGCCGGGATTAAGGTCCAAACTTTAAAATAAAACAAGGTAGCACGTTTGTTTGTAGCCGGCACTTTAGTGAATCAGACTAATTTACCAGAGATGCCGAAAAATAAACTTAGTATAGTCCGTCATCAGTTCGCCAGAGTGATCGGTGATTCAACGGAAGTGGCAGTGCACAAAGATCACTGAATGCGGAAGTACTACGTATCAGCGTGATAATCCCCTATTGTTCCCCCCAAAAATGACTGCAAGGTCATCATTTACTCACCCTCATGTCATACCAAATCAATATGACTTGTATGAGCTGCAGAGGGCAAACTTTTCAGTGAATAATAAGTCTGGCATCTGGTGACTTTTAATATAGCGTGGGAGTCATTTAAACTACTTTTATGGTATTTTATGGAAAATAGATGTTTAAGGTACTTTCAAATAGTTTTTTTGTGTGTGTTCCAAGAAAAAAACCCAGCAAATTTGTTCAGAACGACATGAAGGCGAGTAAATAATGATAGAATTAAAAAATTTTGGGTGCACTGTCCCTTTAAGAGTTTGATTTGAAAAAAAAAATGTTGAGAACTCAGAGGAGAATGATTCACAACAGTCAAATTCTTTGAGATGATTTCTTGTTGCTGACTATAAAGGAAGAAAATGAGGGAGTCAAGGAAAGGTCTAAGCGAGGGGGAGTGAAAAGAGAGAGAGATTTAGGAGAAAACGGGTTTGTTTGAGAGAACTGGGCTTCTTTGTGCACTTTTTCTCATCTCAGTCCAATGCACTTCCTGTTTGGCTCATAAAACTGCACCGTTGCAGAAAACGCAGTTGTTTGAAGTCACTGATCTGAGACCGGTTTTGCTTTACTCCTCATAATGATAAAAGTTGAGAGACGGGACAGTTGACACTGGATGGTGACTAAATGTTTTGGGATAATTCAACTGTCATCATTTAATCACATCTTCTCCATACAATGACCTTTCTTAGTGGCCAAATACCAAAATTTACCTTTAAAATCCCTTCCACTGTAGTTCTCAAGTCAAATATGACGCAGGTTTGACGACATGACGTTTGCTTAAGAGACACTCGAGAAACAGTGACATTTGTTGTTATTGACTTCCAACTCAAAGCGATCATCATCATCAAATGGCATCAGAACAAAGAACTATTATGTGAACTTTGCACAAGTTTAGCATTTAGTTGGGAATGAGACCGTGTGTGTGTTTATGCTGTGTTTTCTGTGTCTATAGAGTAAATCAGTGTCGTCGACTGACAGTCAGGCGGCAGAGGATCGGCAGGGTCCGTCAGGGGTGTATCCCTCACAGGCCAGCAGCGATGCCAAACGCAGACGGTGTGATGACAAAGATGTCCTCCCGTCTCACTACGTATGTCACATGATGATGACATCATTCTTGTCTTTCCCCCAATTAACTAAATGAGTGTGTTACACTGACAGTCCTAGTTTATCTATCTATCTATCTATCTATCTATCTATCTATCTATCTATCTATCTATCTATCTATCTATCTATCTATCTATCTATCTATCTATCTATCTATCTATCTATCTGTCTGTCTGTCTGTCTGTCTGTCTATCTGTCTATCTGTCTATCTGTCTATCTGTCTGTCTGTCTGTCTGTCTGTCTGTCTGTCTGTCTGTCTGTCTGTCTGTCTGTCTATCTGTCTATCTGTCTATCTGTCTATCTGTCTATCTGTCTGTCTGTCTGTCTGTCTGTCTGTCTGTCTGTCTGTCTGTATATATATATATATAGAGAGAGAGATTTTATTTAAATATATTTTACTGATTTCCAGTGAAATCAAATTTTATTCTTAAATGAAATTCAACTTCATAATTGTTTCAGTCCCTGACTGTAAAAGTATGTTCTGGATAGTTATGAGCACAACATCTATTGTCAAATTTCTAATATAGAACATGATTGAATTTTGTGAATTTTTATTGACATTTTATTTCATTGCAGCTTCTATTGTGTTTACTGGACGCTTGTGCTACTGGACAATGTTTTGGGTTCAGTACAGGCTTGCTTGATATGGTTTTATGGAAAATAATGTTTAAAATTGTATAAATTAAATTGTTATATAAAAATATAGAATTATTTCATTAATTATAAATAATTTATATGTAATATGTATATTATATAATATGAATATTATAATTAATAAATATAATTTTTAAAATAATTAAAATATAATTTTACAACTATATTTTAATATGAAAAATACACAATTATATTATGTTACATTATAATAAAAACGTATGCCTAATGTATAGGTTAAATCTTTTTTATTCTATAATTTTTTTATATAGGTCATTATGCTCAATGCATTTACCAAATGCATACATGTAGGATGTGACCATCCGGGCGGGTGTAATTAGGGGGATGATGTCACTATAGGGTGATGGTAATGGGAACATCAGGCCATGATCACATCAAAGCCCTGTTGCCATGGTAACTAAGTGCGTTGACAATCCCTGGTTCCCAGAGATGGGCGAAAGAGAAGAGTGAGATGAGTGTGAGCTGTGTGAGAGCGATGGACAAGGTGGTGGGAGAGTCTCCCCTGCTGTGATTGGTGAAATTAGACACAAAGGGAGGGGCACGGAAGGAGCAGAAAAAGGACACTGCAATATTGTACATGTACCTGATAAATATCCCATAGGGGTATATATTTTTGGCCTGTGTGTGTGTGTCATCTAACACCATCCTTCTCCTGCCTGTTTTCTTTTAGGACAGTGACGGAGACAAGAGCGAGGACAATCTTGTGGTAGATGTCTCAAATGAGGTCAGTTCACACGCACTGCTAAATTAACATCAGTGAAAATCTGTACTTACAGTAGTTCTGTCAATCGATTTAACATCTTAATTAAATTAATTAGATGATATGCTGATTAATTAATAAAAAAAAATTGGAAAAAGGATTTCTTGTCAATTTAGAGCGCAACGATGTTTTCTAGTTCACATGATTTTGTATTTTTTATCACAAAGAAATTTTTATTTTGTTTTAAATTAAAAAAAATGTTTTTATTGATTTTATTTTTGTTTTGTTCTGGTTTGCTTTGTTGTTGTTGTTGGTTTTTTTTTTTTTTTTGCGTTTTAATTTGATTTGGTCTGATTTTTGTTTGGTTTTGTTAAACAAAAATCTAACCAAAGCAAACCACAACAAAACAACAAAGCAAACCCAAAAAAAATCATTAAAATGAAATAAAACAAAATAAAACTTTCACGGTGATAAAATACAAAAAAAAAAAAAAATTAAACTAAGGCTGTCAATTTAACACATTAATTTGTTTTGTTTTAATTTGTGTTTTCTTATTCCACATCAAAACTGACCCGATTTACTTTCTTAAATCATGCTCCTGGTCTTATTTTGCACAATTCATCGGTTCATTCATTCAGTATATTGTTGCCCAAAAAAAAGTTAGACTTCATAAAAATAATAACTTTCTCTGCCTGTGAATATCAAACCAAGCCATTACTGGAGACTATAATATCATAAAGACTTGGGCCAGACCACAACAGCAACCACCCAAAAACACCCTATAGCATTGTAGTCTTTCACTGACTTTAATCTTAATGATGTGTATTTGTGTTTAATTGTAGAGCAGCACCAACAAATGCAATTCATCCTGAAAAACTCGTTCTTTATTATTATTTCTATGCAATTATCATCCATTTCAAGGTAAAACATTACAGCTCTGTTTCTCAATTACTGGATAAATATTGGACATCACTCATTTTTATTAAACTGCATTCATTCAGTAATTGCTGATAATATCGCACAGGCGAATCAGGATTGTTTTCAGCTGCAGAGCGGCTGGAGTCAGCGCTATGCTTTTATAATCATTATGTGACCCCGCTGCATAATTAACGCGTTTAAAAAACATGATCCGAATTCCTGCAATATTCCACATCAAGGATTAAACTAGGACCTCTCAGCACTGTTTTGTCATTTACAGTTGAGTAAACACATTTGAGTGAACGGTTGAGACCTTGATTTGTTGAACTCCAGGTTAACAAAGTTTAATGAAGGCAAGCATCCATGTTATTTTGAACAACCCTATTAACTCATGCCTCAACATCTAGAACGTAAAAAGAAAAATCACATATCCAAACTAAAGCATAATGCACTCAGGCTCTTGACTCTCCTTAACTCCTTCACTGTTTCCAGGAGGCTTCCTCTCCCATAGGCAGTGGCCCTCTGTCTCCTCATGGGAATGGATTGGACCGTGCCCCAAACCTGAGGAAAGAGCTCCCAGGATCCCCAAGTCCCCCACCGGCCTCCCCACCACACAGCCCACCCCCTGGCAAAAACAAGGACACCTCACAAGTACGAACGCTTTTCTTAGATACCTAATATGCCAGAGTTCTACTCATACTAAATATTATGTGAACTGTTTTACTTTGTACTCCTACTTTCTAATTATTGTAAAAACTAGATTTGCAGATTTGGCCTAAAGCTATAGGGTATAGCTAGTTTGGGACAAGAAAATATGTTGGTTTGTAGTTACTGATAAATATATTTTCTAGAATTTTTTACTTATTTATTTATAGCGGTTTTTAATATAATACATTCCATATCAGTGTTACTATGGGGTCATTATGACAAATAATAGCATCTGTCTCTTTGTTCTATTGGCAGACAGAAAAATCTCAGTCGCCCTCCTCTAAATCAGGCAATTCCTCTCCCTCTCACCATGACCCTCTCACCCCGGGTCCACCGGGGCCCAGCACTTCCTGTTTACGCCTGGTCAACAAAGCTGCGTCCTCGGCAGACCCTCTGGGTAAGACGTTGTCTGTTTGCGTTTATCGCAAACACAATTCAATGAAAATAATTTGTTTAATTGTGTGTTCTGTAGCTCTACGGAGTCCCTTGACTATGACGCCTGGTTCTTACCCGGCTCACTTTGGGGTGGTGTCCCACGCCGGGCTTAACGGAGAGCTGGCCAGCCCAGGGGGGTTCGGAGGCTCGCTCACCCTCTCGCCCCAAATCAGTGCTGCAGCCAGTGCCTACACACGCAGCCCTATGGTAACTGTGTTTCTAAAGCTCTTACAGTTGACTAAAGTCTACCGAAAAGCACTTTAACCCTGAATACTCTACTTTACAGGTAGCGTATGAATCACGTTCACATCTTAGGCCCTCAGGGCTGTCCTCCTCGCTGCCTGGCTCCACCGGTGGCAAGCCGTGAGTTTCTCCTCTTTCTTTTACCTCCCTCTGTTTTGAGATGGAGTTGCACAGCGATGACCAGTGTATTAGTCCAAAATAGTGCTGCTTTTGTTTGCTGTGCTTGTATTAAAATCCCCTCTGGAGCCCCCCACTGTCAGCTACAGCGAGAAAAACACTTGAATTCAGGCAAACATCCTTCAGGCAGCAAATTATTGCTGCACCCACTGAATGACACACATACAAACATGCAAACTTCTCATAATTATGTTGTCAAACTTAAGTACTTACGGATTGAATCAGCTCCTATTCTTATTTAAATTTTTTGTTCCTTGAAGTCCACTTATAATGTTAGTTGCACTTTATTGGACCAAAAACAGCCGTAATTTAGTTTTTATGACCATTTTCCACCATCTGACTGACCTCTCAACTTGAACATAGCATTTTTTGTCCATACAGTGGAGGTCAATGGGGTCCAAAGTTTGGATCTTATTGACTTTTGTTGTATGGACAAAATCATCTTTCAAAATATCCTTTTTTGTTTTCTGCAGAAAAAGAGAAGTCAAACTTTAATTTTTTAGAGTTAACTACCACTTTAATGTCCACTTATGTCCCCAGTGCTTACTCGTTCCACGTAAGCGCAGATGGTCAAATGCAGCCGGTACCCTTCCCTCCTGACGCCCTCCTCGGCCCTGGCATCCCGCGGCACGCCCGTCAGATCCACACCCTCAGTCATGGAGAGGTGGTGTGCGCTGTCACCATCAGCACCTCCACGCGTCACGTCTACACCGGCGGGAAAGGCTGCGTCAAAGTCTGGGACATCAGCCAACCTGGCAGCAAGAGCCCGATGGCCCAACTGGACTGTTTGGTGAGATCTGCGTCATGTGAAACTCTCCTTCTAGTTGGTATTTGCCATCCAAGTTGGACAAAATAATGTCTACCCTTTCGTCCAATCAGAATCGAGACAACTACATCCGATCGTGTAAGATTCTCCCAGATGGGCGGACCTTGATAGTTGGAGGTGAAGCCAGCACCCTGTCCATCTGGGACTTGGCCACGCCGACTCCACGGATCAAGGCCGAATTGACGTCCTCGGCTCCGGCCTGCTACGCTCTGGCCATCAGTCCTGACAACAAGGTCTGCTTCTCCTGCTGCAGTGATGGAAACATCGTGGTCTGGGACCTGCACAACCAGACGCTCGTCAGGTATCTAAAGACTCCTGCTGGTGAGATAGACGACCTTCTTCTTCCTGAGGTCATGTGATGTTCTTGTGTCGCCCTCCGCAGGCAGTTCCAAGGCCACACAGACGGAGCCAGCTGTATAGATATTTCCAACGACGGGACCAAACTGTGGACGGGGGGTCTGGACAACACAGTGCGCTGCTGGGACCTGAGAGAGGGCCGGCAGCTGCAGCAGCATGACTTCACCTCACAGGTACTGCAGCTCAGTGGGAACATAGGAATTGGAGTTTTGGGTATATATTTTTCAAAGAACATGAAACCTCTGTCTCAGAACACACTAGCAACCACACAGCAACACCCTAGCAACCAGCTAGCAATGTTCTAGCAACCATTCAAAACACCTTAGCAACCACATAGAAAGAACCTAGCAATCCCCTAATGCCAAAGCAACCGTTTAGCAATGTCAACTTACAATGTCCCAGTAACCACCCTGCCTGAACACCCTAGTAACCCCATAGCAATACCCTAAAATCCCCTGACAATCACCTCAGAACATCCTATAAAACCACATAACAACACCCCAGCAATGCCCTGGCAACCACTTAAAACATCCTGAAAACCACATAGCAATGCCATTGCAACCAGTTAGCAATGTCAACTTACAATGTCAGGGGATTTTTAGGGTTTTTGCTGTGGTTGCTAGTGTGTTCAATGTGGTTACTGGGACAGTCACCTCAGAACATCCTTTAAAACCACATAGCAATGCCCTGGCAAACACTTAGAACATCCTGAAAACCACATAGCAACGCCATAGCAACCAGTTATCAATGTCAACTTACAATATCCCAGTAACCACCCTGAACAATCTAGTAACCACATAGCAAAAACCCTAAAAATCCCCTGACAATCACCCAGAACATCCTATAAAACCACATAGCAACACCCTAGCAATCACTTAGAACAGCCTATAAAACCACATAGCAACACCCTAGTAACCAGCTAACAATGTCAACTAACATTGTCCAAGTAACCACCTTAAACACCCTAGAAACCACATAGCAACACCGTAGCAACCAACCACCAGTGCCCTAGCAACCACCCAGAGTGATGAATGGCTTGCTGTTGCATCATACATAATTAGTCAGAACCAATTTATTAGTAGAGTAAATTCTTTTATATTTATATTCCAGTTTTAGAACTTTATATTCCAGTTTTTAGAACTACTTGCTGTCTATTTTCATTTAGTTTTTATTGAAGTGTTTTTATGTGCACACGTAGATCTTTTCTCTGGGTTACTGTCCTACGGGCGAGTGGCTCGCAGTGGGGATGGAGAGCAGTAATGTGGAAGTGCTGCACGTCTCCAAACCAGACAAATACCAGCTGCACCTTCACGAAAGCTGCGTTCTCTCACTCAAGTTCGCCTACTGCGGTACGAGAGTCACTATAAACTTGTGGTTTCTAAACTGCTCTTGCAATCATACGATCCTTTATTATTTATGCCCCATATAAAATAAATGCTATTTCATAATCTAAGATGGAGAGGACATGATTTGTTTCTCTTTCAGGGAAGTGGTTTGTAAGCACAGGAAAGGACAATCTGCTCAATGCATGGAGGACGCCATATGGAGCCAGTATTTTCCAGGTTCGTTCCAAACCCATATGACTTTCTTTCTTCCTTGGAACGCAAATGGAGATGTTTTGAATGTCCTAAACCTTTAAATGCTGCTATACGGAATAAGAGTGCAGCTGTGCGCAGACAGAGAGCTTGTATTTAAAGCAAGACGGTTCTCGGTTTAGATTCAAAAATGATTTTACTCCTCTCTCTCTCTCGCTCTCTCTCTCTTTTATAGTCAAAGGAGTCCTCGTCTGTCCTGAGCTGTGACGTGTCCCCAGACGACAAGTATATTGTAACTGGTTCTGGGGATAAGAAAGCCACGGTGTATGAGGTGGTGTACTGAAAGCAGACAAAGACTGAAGGATGGATGAACAAAGAGCGCCAAGCATGACACAATCATGGCCGCGTGACAGGCAACCATGGCTCTTCTATACGCGGCCCTTTCACTCCATCCAGTAACCATAACTTACGAGATAAAGGCTTTGCTTGCAATGGCATACTAACATACTACTCATACTATTTACGCAGTATGTATCCTGTGCACAGTACGAATATTTAAAAAAATTCCTTCAAAAGTTGTGCGATTTCGAAGGAACGACTTCCTTCCTTCAAAATTTCCCGTCAAAACACTATGTGAGATACTGTATCCCATGGCAATGTGCTCAACTTGACCTTCCAGTTTAAAGTCGGCATGAAATGGAAACTCACCCTATTTTCTAAATAATCTTATTGTGAACGATTCATCCATGCATGTTTCATTTGTTTTATATTTTTTGACCTTTTTTTTTAAAATGCAACAATGTAGCATACTACTATTTATCTTTCCAATTTTCTGTTATCATTGCAATAAACAGTATATACTGAAGTATGTAGTACGCTAGTATTCCATTACGAACGTAGCACGTGAGAGTGGAGCCGTTAATTAGAACAGTCTCCAAGCTAAAAGAGGAAGCCCTACAGACAGCTGGTACTTAGGGAGCCGCTTCTTACAGCAACACCAAAACCAGACAATCATTTCATTAGTTGCAAACTCCCTCCATAAAGAGTGTGCAACATCATCCCCCCCCCCACCCACCCAATGAGAAAATGCTCACGTTGGAGCATTTCTGGATGAACACGAAATGGGCGTACAAACAATTCTCCACTCGCCTATCCAACCCAATTAGACATTCATGTGGCAAATCCCAGTCGAATTCTCCAACCTGCATTTAATTTCCATCTTCCACAAGTCAGTGTCTAATGAGGAGCAAGGGTAAATCATGCAGGATTCGTGTGGCAAATATTCACAACCACGACCGTTATTTGTTTTAATTCCTGTGGATTATCATACAGATGTTGCGCTCATTTGTGGTTTAATGCTTATTTTCATGTCATTTAATTATCTTTTAGGAAACCTTTTCATGATTGCTCTTCTTTAGTGAGATGAAGCAATGCATCAGGACCTATAATGCAAATACCTAAAACTAATATGTGATATATATATACCATCAAAAAATGTCATTAAAGATAAATCAATAAATTATAAAAATGTGACTAAAATATATAATTAATCAACAGCATGGAAGAGAATCCAATAGTATCTTTTTGAAGATACAATTATTTAAATTTGAGGGCTGCAAATATTGATATAGCCGTTTAATTGCAGTCAATAAATAGGGATATCATGTAATGAATTGAAATGTATTTTTTAATCAAATGACATCCCTAAATGTAACCTCTTCTCAAGTTAGATAGAGAAAAATATTTGAAAATCTGAGCAGTCCTAAAACAGAGCCCTGATGCACACCATTAATAAGAAGAGCTGTGGTTGCCAACCTGACCAGGAATGTTCAAGGAGAAACTAGAGAACTCATCTACTACATGAACCAAACATCCTGCTGGGAACAGATTTTTTTTTAAATTACAGTTTTTTGTTCATTCTTCTTTTGATCTACAAAGCTTTTCTCAGCACTTAGAAAACAGTCGGATGAGTCAAACCGTTTTTTTCTTGTGAACTGAAGGGATTGTATCATTAAGTTATTTCTCTTTTTTATGGCAATAGTAAGCAGTGATACTACAGTGTTTTGATCAGTCTGTTTATTATCCAGAAAGTGCGGTGTGTCTATTTTTCAAAGGTAGACCGTCTCTACTGCACGATCTGTCTTTGACATAATGCTATAGAAATATCTGTATCTATCTACCCTTATATAATGCATTATGTTTGTATACTGAACAATGTTCACCATCAAGATTTCATTAAAGACACTCTCTCGAAAGCCAAGGAACTTTTTTCGAAGGCATTGCTGTGATATCCCTGTAGCACTTCCCATGTGATGTAAAAGACATGTATACATTGACAAATTAAACTTGTGGTCATCTTTTGAAGTTGTTGCATTCTTGAGTGGTTCAATATCAAATAATAATTTTTAAAAAACTAAAGAAATTATCCAGACCAACTCATGTATATGCCAATTTTATTTACTTATTTACAATAACAAATTGTATTGTATTAAAATTCATTCATCTAATTTATTTTAAAACATGAACACTAACTTGGTTACAATTAATGACTTGAATACATTCACATATGCAATTCTATTTACAATTTTTACAATAAAAAATTTAAAAGTATGAGTTTTGGGGTCTGCATATTTCTTAAGCTTGTATTTCCTTTTTTTTTAATTAGCCTTCAAAATGGGTAAACAAGCTTGGATACCAGAAAGCATTTTAACATTTAAATGTAATTATTGGATTTACTCACTATCTACAACATTCTCTTTATTCATTAGAAATTAGATTTTAAACTACAAATAAATGCAAGTGTCTTTTGGCTTTTAAAGAGCTTTATTTACAGTTCATACATACCAAGTTTGCGACCAAACAGTCAAAATAATTTTCAACATGCTCCAACATACAGTATTCACGTGATAGGACATTAACTGAGTGTCTTTATAGCCATTTCCCTGAAGTCAATGAAACACTAAAATCCTTGTTGTCCTACATCATAGAGTCCATCGTCTTTTACATCATCCATACAATCATAACACAGTGCCGAGATCAGGTCAGCTTTAAGAAAACGATCAATGAAGAAGTCTTAGGCCAGTCCCATCGTAATTCATTCATCCACTGCGGCTCCATAATTGTCCATTTCCGTGAAAATTCCGAAGGCTAAAAAAATAAGATTTCTTTTACTACTATATTCACTACAGAGGTTTCATCTTGTTTTAAAAAAAAGAAAGAGAAGAAAAGAGGAGGTCTTTGGAGAAATTCCATGTTTTTGAAGCTAGACTACCAGCTTTCCTCACAGCATTAAAAAAACAACAAGGTCAGTTCTGAGGATCCACCATCAGATCCTGGAGCTGAAAAGTACAGCCGTCCTGCTGTCTCAGAGTCCATATTCATGTCCATGTCACACCTTTTGTCTCCCAACTCGGAGACAAAATGACGATGAATCTGGTCTCCTCAATCCAATCAGTTTTCGTTTTATGAGCGACATTCTGAACACATTCAGTTTAGTAAATGACTTCATACACAGTAGCCTTCTTATCTCCTGAGCCAGTGACAATGAATTGGTCATCAGGCGAGATGTCACAGCTGAGGACGGATGACGATTCCTTAGACTGGGGACAAAAACGATTAGTTAGAGAGTTCGTTCAGGTGTTAGATAGCATTTCTAATCAGTGTTTGTCTTCTGTATCCTGATAAATAGGACACAGAACGTCTATCCAACAATAAACTGACATCATCCTAATGTGTCAGAAATTAATAAGTCCCAATGATACTGAAAAAAATATAATTTAATTACATTATAGTTGTAACACAATATAACCGATAATTCCCAACAATCCTGGGGAAGCTCATTTGAGTAGCTTGTAGTTTGGAAAGCAAAAATGGAAAGAAATTCAAGCTACTCTTTAAAAAGTAGTTAGCTAAACTACAAACTTGAATAGATTCCAATTAAGCAAAAAATAGTGAGTAACGGTATGAATATTACTACTCAAAACATTTAAAGGTGCTCTATGTAACTTTTCTACTAAAATGAATCCTTTTTTATTGCCTGTGTGTGAAGAGGTTGTAATCACACATTAAAATGATCCACTTGTCGAGTTTTGCTATTACCTCTGAAGGCCAGTATTCCTATTTCTATGTGAAGTCTCCGGGTCGGATTTACCGCGAAATCCAACGGATGTGACGTGCATGCGCGCTCCCGAGCCTCTCTCCTACAGTCTATTGTAGACGGTCAGGGAGTTAAGTCCGGTTAAAGGCGCACGTTTTTCGGCTTATATCTCAGTCAATCTTTGATCAATATTCCCAAGACTCTAATCGTTCGTAGTGCTGGACGGGGCCTTTCGAACAAGCCCACCCCCGAGGTCCAACTCGCCCGGCTCCCCGAGTTATAGCCGTTCGAAATCGGGGGTCCCAGCGAACGGCGATCCGGTAGGGGGCATCCCCGAGGCCCGCCACTTCGGGCAAGGGTTCCCCTGGGACCTCCTCCCCCGAATTTGAGCTCTCTGGGTCTTTGCGTTCCAGAGATACGAGCGATTTTCTTCTGAGATCGTGACGTCAGCGGCGTCCGCAATTTTGCAGCGCGCCCGATGGTTTTCTGCTAATATCTCCGCGAAAACACCACCAAAAACTATGGAACTTATATGGTTCTTTTCAGCTCGACTAGATGGTCCCAACGAGCTCGGTGCTCGCCGAATCCGTCTAGTATTCGCCGAGATATTTGCGTAATAGACGGTATTGTCTATGAGTTCGAGCACGAGCGCTCTTGTAAAATTTGGTTGCAATCTGAAACATCACCACTAGAGGCCGCTAAAAGTTACATAGAGCACCTTTAAAATGCTAAAAGTAGTAGTTTGTTAGTGGAAAAGCTGCACCATTTTGAAACTTGCTTACAATGTAGTTAGTAGCATCACCACTTTTAGTTATTTACTCCCCAACACGGCAGTATTTATAATCAACAGACACCATTTTCAAACCAAACAGCACAATACCTGGAATATGCTTGATCCATATGGAGTTCGCCATGCATTCAGTAGATTATCTTTGCCTGTGCTAACAAACCATTTACCTGCAAAAGTGGAAAAGTATGGTGTTATGCATAATCTTTACGTTTTTCCATAATGCTCAACCTCAAATGATCATTTTCTGAATTTCTTAAGTAAAAAACAAGACGTTTTTAAGAGAACGAAAAATCCGCCAAACATACCACAGTAGGCGAACTTGAGTGAGAGAACGCAGCTTTCGTGAAGGTGCAGCTGGTATTTGTCTGGTTTGGAGACGTGCAGCACTTCCACATTACTGCTCTCCATCCCCACTGCGAGCCACTCGCCCGTAGGACAGTAACCCAGAGAAAAGATCTGCGTGCACAAATAAACACATTGTTTAATGCTAAAAACGATCACAATTTTGAACAACAACGGAACCTCCCGATCCGGCCTGGATATATTTCAAAACGGTACTTCGTTTAAAAACTCTCTGTCCACACTAGCGTTTTTGAGCATTTTCCAAAAGTTGCTCATCCACAGTAAGCAAAAAAACACAATGTGAAAGAGCAATGT